GGGGGGGGGGGGGGGGGGGGGGGGGGGGGGGGGGGGGGGGGGGGGGGGGGGGGGGGGGGGGGGGGAGAAGGGTGGGAGGGAGGTAGTTAGGACAAGAGAGAACCGTTGGCGTGAGGGTGAGGGGCGGAAAATACTTGTCGCGTCGCCGGAGGTATTTGCCCGTTCAGTGATGACTGGGGTGCGACGTGATCATTTTTGTTTCTGCAAGTAGTGGACGGGGGTAGGTTAAAATAAGAATAGACCGTGGCCGGCAGGGTGGGGGACGGAAGATTATACTTGTAATGTCATCATTTTTCGCAGATGCAGCAGTTGCAACCGGGATCCGGTGTGTGACCTAGCACTCGTTATCTCGTCGCATTTCGCACAACGTCCACCCAAGACATGGCAAAGACGTTCCCTGCCTCGCGGTTCCTCACCTAGTCCCGTGGTGGGCTCGTCGAGGAACAGAAGGCCCGGGCAGGTCAGGAGCTCAGTGGCTATCGAAAGGCGCCGCTTCTCTCCCCCGGAGATACCCCGCGACAGCCCGCCTCCGATGCGAGAGTCACGAACGTCCTCTAGCCGTAACTCTCGGAGCACCTGCTCTCCCCCCCCCCGGGGACCAAAAAGGCGGACGAGATGGGGATGGAAACCCAGGGACGAATGAAAACAAAGCAGGAAAAGGGAGGGACGGTTGAGGACGTGGCGGCGAAGAGGTCGTAGCGCAAAGAAGGGGTACATAGCGCAGCCGGGCGTGCTTCACGGCACACGGAATGCGTGAAGGAACGACGGACATAGTTGGTACAAGAATATAAGGTCGCAATTCGTCGAACACGTCCTGTAAATCTCAACAACTGTTGTACCGTTCCCAAACTTCATGAAAAAAACAGTTTGTAGAGGCAAAAGCAACTGCTCGTTTCAAACATATCGTACTGCATGTGTGCACCCGCCCATGTGCCCCTTCTCGGTCCTCACATCCCCTGTAGCCCCGGCACCCTCAAAACATCTACCGGTACACATCTATCCCTGCTTGCAAAACTGCGGGGTACCACACCTGCAGCACTCGATGCTTCCTATCCTCCCGCGAGGCCCGACGACGTCGCCGCCCAGTCCCCCGCCCGCAGCCGCAACCCCTCGTCACCGCCTCCGGCGTCGACATCCTCAGCTCGGCGTGGAACATGAGGTGCTCGAAGCAGGTCAGCGTCTCGGGAAGCACGTCCTCCTGGGTAACGTACCCGGAGACGCCGCGGACCTCCGCGGCCGTCACCGCCCTGCCGTTGATCCGGACGGCTCCCGTGACACGGCCGCCGTTGTTCTTATTCCCGAGGCGACGCATCCGCCCGGCCAAAACGTTCAGGAGAGTCGTCTTCCCCGCGCCGGAGGGGCCCATGATGGCGGTGACGCTGCCGGACCATACCGGAGCGGAGGCGAAGGGGGAACCGTTCCCGCTGCTACCTGCGGTGCCGGGCCCAGCGAACCCCGAGACCCCGTTCAAGATGGCGGCGGCAGCGGGGGCCCCGCCCTTACCGCCTCCGGGTAGGGGGACACCGATGTCTTCCCACGACAGCAGGATCGGCTGGACGATGTCGCCGCCGTTGCTACGACGGTCTCCGCCCCCTGCGGATAGCGATGCCGCACCGTTGTCACCGCCACCGCTAGGAGGAACGCCGTGATTCGCCGCTGCGCCCTGCGACGACGACACAGCGGAAGACCCCGCCGCCACACCGTTCGCATTCGGTCCGGTGGACTTTGCGCCAGCGGCGCCTGCGGCGGCTGCTGCCGTCACCATCACGGGGGCGTCCAGGAGGTTGGAGGAGGAGTTGCTGATGGTGTTAGCGTCGCCGTAGGCGGGGGTTCCTCCGAAGGTGGCCGAGAGCGGGCGGGAGGAGCTCCGCCGCCTGCCGCCGTCCGACTTGCGCAGGCGCAGGGGGCTCGTCCTGCGCAGTGACGGGAGTGGGAAGGAAGAAATGATTGTATGAGAGAGGAAGGTGCGGTCGATGAACGTACAGCAGTTCAGAGCTGCAAGCAGCATCCATCAGGATCGGACAGAAGCTTCTTGGAGGATCGGAAAAAATGATCGTTTCATGTAGGGGACGAATGTGTGGTCGATGAGCGTACACCGAGGAATGGAATGAGCTTATCTTATCCACAAAAACGATTCAAGTACAAAATAGGACGCCACGAAAACCCCGGCACAAAATCCGAAACCATGATCTACACAAGCACCGCGTGCTCAGAACATGCTGTGCAAGAGGCAGCGCAACAAAACTCACAATGAAGATCGTAAGAGGGACAACAGGATCAACAAACAACATCCAACTTTTCCAAATTCCAATCTACGCCCGATGTCCCCCAGAAACAGCGGCGGTCAGGTTATTAACGAAAATCGGCAAGAAACCAACAAAAAAACAACACAACTCGCCTCGTGAAGATGAAGAAGAGCAAGAAGCTCAACAGACAAAAGGCCAGCGCAATCACCGAGAGCGCCGCCACGCCCTCGCGCATGTTGGAGAGGGACGGGTCGAAGTTGAAGGTTTCGAGGATGGTCGATCCCAGGGGCTTGATTACGGGCAGGTCTGGGGAGCATCTCTGGGGGGGGGGCGACGGTACATGCCGGCAACGGTGGGGGGGGGTAGGGTTAGCCTTCGGACCATTCGCCGTGCATCTTACCAAAAGTGGGAGCGAGGGAGGTGGGTCATGAGTATTGCATAAACAGCCTTGGGAAGGCGGGCACAAGGGGTACTCATCCAACGACGAGGCCTACTGTTCGACACACAAAATAACAAGCGCAACATGGTTTTGGATTAACAAAACAAGAAAAAAAGCGAGCGGGGCAGCTCCAACAACCCATGACGAACAGCACGGCGGGGCGGCCTCCAAACAGGGGGTCGCAGGCAGCTGAAGACGACAACGGGGCAAAACTTTCAATAACCAGCACGCGACGAGGGAGAGAATCCACGAACACAGCCGGCAGGCGCCGAACAAGAACACCCGCAGTTTCCTGTGTGTACAAGAGTTACCCCTACACACAGACCTATGCACGCATACCTCGGCCACAATTGTGTACGGTCTTGCACCAAAGGGATCGTTGAACTCGTTCACCAGAAGCGACTCGTACGCGTGCCCGAGAGGGGTCACCTTACTCAGCCACTGCCAACCTGCTCAGCACACACAAGGCCAACCGAACGGGGGGG